TGTGATTTTCATTTTCTTACATAGGTCACCACATCTAAGCTATGGCGGCAAGTTGGAGAATCCTTCCATCCTCCAAAGTATGTCTGGTTTTGTCCTTAAACTCCTCAATCTTTCCATTTTTGTATGATACTGACGTTCCACAATTTTTTTTTCATTGCCTTTATTCAGGACATGTACTACTGTCTCCTGGACCTTCCGCATTTTTTATGAAAAGGTGAATTTCATTTTTTTTTTCCTCTTAGTACCAGATATGCATCGTGATTAACAAGTTTATACATGTTCAATTCAGACAATCTCCTCGTGCTTCTTTTCTGGTACTGTGTCTGTGATTAGCTATAATTGGTTTTATTTCGTGGTAAAGTAGATTTCCAACAGTTTATTTGGACTAACTCTTTTGGCACCTTGCATTTTATGGTTGATTTTTTTCCTATAAATATCTAGATACTTCATGAATTGTATGCTTATTTCCCAACTGCAGTCACTTTTGGAGTATGAAAAGCATTTAAGGCAAAATGGTGAGCTTAACCTTCCTGGTGCTTTTCTTCCGTCTTCAGGCCTTGAAAAAGAGGTTAGAATTCCTATGAAAATGTGTCTTTTTTTAATGCTTTTGGGTAGGTGAACACTTTGAGAGGAGGTCAATTTAAGGATAGTTAACAATGCTTTTGGGTAGGTGACTTTAACGCAGAGTGGATTTTCGAATATCAGATAAACATGTTGAATACTACTCTCTGCATCATGGTTGAATAAAGCCGTACCTTTCTTGTTATGAATGGGATTTAAAAAAAAAAATTTAGACAACCCAGATAATTACCAATTTTGAAGCTCCGGAAAACAGAGATTTAAACTTTACATGCCTCCCCTTTTTCTCTCATTGATATAAATGCACTTATGTATGTAGGCAAGTAGCCATCAAGGTTCAGGGTCGGGCAGAGCACGAAGAGATGCTGCAGCTCGTGCTATGCAAGGTTGGCATGCTCAGCGCCTTGCTGGATCTGGGGAGGTTTCTGAGCCTACTGTCAAGGTTTATATTTAGATCTTACCACGCTTCATGATTCACCATGCACAAACTTGCGCGGCACCATGATGCTCTTTTTTTACTTCTTCTTTTTTAGGATAAGGGCTTAAATTCAACCCCAAAGCAAAAGAATCTCAAAAACATTGGTAATATTCTCAAAGAGGAACCCATCGTGTTTATTCTTCTCTATGATTTATAAAACAGTTACCTAATGCCATCGTGTTTAAAATGGTTTTTCTCAGGTGTGCAGAAACAAAAAACACCAATTGGCATGGACCCCGTTTTCTCACATGAAGCAGACAAACAGTTATGAAAGCTAATCATTTCTTGTATATTTGAATTAAATGATTACAGATCATTTTGTGACCAGAAATAGCTAATATGGCTCAATGCCAAGGTTTCTTGATTTGTTTCATGTGCCTAATCAAAGCAAAGAGATTAATAATATGATTTTGGTTAATAGGTCAACTGCGGAGGTTATTGATGTTGGACCCCCTGCAGACTGGGTGAAGATAAATGTCAGAGAAACTGTGAGCACCTCTGTCTCTTCTCCTCTCATGTAATGCAGTGTTTACCCAATTCTTGATACTAGAGGCGTGAGAAAAATACGAAGCAGCCTGAAGAACGGGAGACAACTGCAATCTAGCTCTTTGTTTTGAATCTGAAATCTTACTGAAATTTGTTAGTTGTCTTTATTTACAGAAAGACTGCTTTGAGATATTTGCGCTGGTACCTGGACTTCTTCGCGAAGAGGTGAGTTTTTTTTTTACCTTGCAATTCAGTCTCGTAAGGCTTTTTGATCAGTGTTCGTCATTGGCATATGCTCAAAGAGAGGTGTTTTTATTGCAAAGAAACTTTGCGCTGGTTGTTAATCGGTGCACATGATGTTTGGAAGATTTTTAAAGTAGATAGATACTGACTGATCTGTATACACTATTTTTGTTAGCGATAGTGAACACGGGATTTAGTTACTCAACGTAAGTTGCTTTCTTCTTTCAGGTCCGCGTTCAATCAGACCCTGCAGGTCGGCTAGTTATAGCAGGCCAACCTGAGCAGCTTGACAATCCTTGGGGAATCACACCCTTCAAAAAGGTTAGATTCCAACAAAGCTAAATATTTACCAAACACAGTCCATGCATCGAACTGAAGATAA